TTTCTGCATGCCACATACGTGGGATTGCCTAAGACCGATGTCACCCACACATTGTTGAGCTGCACCTCGATGATGGTATCCTTTGCCTGCGGTGCAAAGAAGCAGTGCTTTTTTTCTTTCAATCCTTTTCATTCAAACAATTTTTCTTTCAGTTCTTTTCTTTCAAACAAACCAGACACAAACAACACACACATACACACACTCACATAGGGACCAATGTGGAACAAAGGTGAGAGGACGAATGGTAGCTACTTTCCCAGCCCTCAGCTTCTTCATTGCTTGCGCTCAGGCAGCACGCAGCGACTGTGGCACAGCAGGAAATGAACTTCTCCAAACCATCTGAAGTTAGGCGATGGGCTCCAGTCTGCAACCACGGTGTCGAGACCGCTTCACCTCTGTCATCGGACAACTGCTTCAAAACATTCACTCTTTCTCCCACTGGATTGATGTGCAAAGCAGCAAACATATTCTTGCCGCTATCCATCCAATGCTCGGCACTTGCTTCCACGCTTCCATCCAACTTCTTTGACAACAGAGCATTGTCAATCTGAACCACATCGCCATTTGTCACTGTCACACACTGGCTCGTCAAACGATGCCCCCACACGTTCACCGCAACTTCGTTCCTTGATTCATCTTTTTACCAGAGAGTCACTTTGGGCACCTTAGTTGGCGGTGTTTCCTTCAAGGTCACCTTCAAGATCACATCGGCACGCTCATACCCTTGGCAATGTTCTGTCAAAATTCCAAAGTTGGACCTCGCCACTGGAAACACATTGCGGAGGACCGCCACCGCTGGATGGGATTCTGCGACCGCCGTAGCTTTCCCTGTTTTCGACACATCCGCCGAAAAGCCAGCCAGAAATGTCGAATGTTGCTTAACCTCTATCTGTGTGACCTGCAGAAATTTAGGTTGAAAAAAAACTTTGGCTCTATCTTGAACTTCTCCTTGGGTGGAGCCTCTGATCTCTGCATACAATCCTTGTCCCTTTTTGTCTACCAAACGCACAATAGCTTTCCACCATGCTTTTTTGCCGGCGTCTTCAATTTTCTTCACCCCGTGGTAAATGGGACGTAGCATCACGGCCACAAACTTGGCATTGTTCTTTGTGACTCTTTCCAGTGTCACTTCTTGCAAATTCATGTTGGCGGAAGAACTCTGCGGGAGCAAAGCAGCCAGTAGGTATCAAAGCAGATGTACGAGTAGTAGCAACAATAGATGCATCGTTCAAAAGAACTAAGTGTGTTCGAAAATAAGTATATACACACACTCTTCGCAGCTGCACAGCAATGCGTTGCCAGGTGCGATATGTTATTAGTACAGATACAACATTTTGCTTCTGCGTGCTGCTATGTCGATCCTGTTCCATGCCACGTGGGACGCATTGATTTCAGAAGGGCTACGTGGACATGGCATATCCGATGATCCTACTCCAATTTAACGATCCGATTCTCTATTCAATCCATTCTTTTGATGATAAATGAGGTAGATGAGGTAACAATGAAATAGGCAAGTTCAAACCGCTTTCGCATGTTCTTCCAATGCAAAAGCTTTGCACATGCAAAGTTCCGTCCTCCAAGAAATGGGATCATGCTGTTCCATTCCACAGCCTGCCAGCAAATGAAACTCAAGTGGAAAACAATCCTTTCACAGCAGCAGTCCTGAAAGGGATAAACCAACAGACACTACCAAATGCTATCTTTTTTCTACGTTGCCAAAACATTCTGAGAAAGGTCTGTTTGGAGAAGACTGCATTCAGTATATTACAGGCTACAGAAGTATTGCTCAGACAGCTCTGGTTGCAATACAAGTAGCAAGGTTGGAAATCAAATAGCATTCAGTATGTCACAGGCTACTGAAGTATTGCATTCAGTCTCGGCTGCAATACAAGGAGCAAAAACCAGCATTTGCTATGATCCAGCTTAGCGACACAACCGGCGGCCACAGTGGTATTGCTCAGACAGTTCTGGTTGCAATGCCAACTGTGTGTCCTCCGTTGCAAAGTTACGCCGCTGCTGAAATCGCGACATACATTTTCAGTCAACCTTCTTTTCGTCATGGCAGGAAGTTGCGATTGGGCAGAGCTTTGTGACAGCTAAGCGTCATGATATATGGTTGACTGGTATTCCGAAAAACCACTCAGTGACGCTGCATACCTGTTTCCTGAGCTCGCGCCCAATGAGGACAATGTCTTGCAAGCAGGTTGCTGATAATCTGGTGATTGCGAAGGATGAAAGTAGCCCCAGTGCAATCGCTCCAACGAAGATCCATAGCATCAGGGTCAACAAAGGAGCCCCAGGTGTTGTAGATGTAGTCACCAATACGGAAAAGAAGATCACTGACTGAGGTGATTTGAATCTGACTAGGTGTCAAAAGGCATGAATATGTGAACAGGGCCAATTCTTCCGGGGCACGAAGGTCTGGAACGCACTCATTTGATGTGGCATCCATGGAGTCGTCTCTTCTCTCGGTCAGAAGTTGTTTGGTTTGATTGATGTCAATCAACAGTAAGACTCTGCGGCTTCTGCGGAGACCTGGCGTATAAGGTTCCATGTGGCTGCTAAAATGATCATGAGGAAGATCAGGATTGGGGTTTCCCCATATAGGACGATCATCATCACGCGAGCGTGATCGTTCTCGCGCCATGGCGGAAGTTAGTCTGAGCTTTTATCTGATCCGAGATGGTGCCTGTCTTCTTCTGATAATAACTTTCTTCAAAAATTCATGACCAAGCAGCTTTTATCAGATGGTGTTCGGTTTGTGGTTGCAAAAAATAGTGGCTGAAAGACAGGCTAAAATAACACAAAATGATCTAGGTGACTTTGTTGCACACAGTTCTGAAGTGTCAGGTTTCGTATGTCTTCTTCTGGAGCTGCCCATATGCACTACAGATGATGTTGTTCCATTCCGCCACAAGCTAGCATCCAATGAAGCTTTCACATGTTCTTCCAATGTAAGCGCTTTGCACATCAAAAGTTCCGTCCCCCACGAAATAAGATGTTGCGGTTCCATTTCACAACCTGGCATCAAACGAAAATCACATGGGACACATTGATTGAACGGCGGCTACATGGACATGGCATATCCGATTTGTTCCTACTCATATCTAAATACACAATTCTGATGCTGTGAAAGTGATTTGTTATTTCCAAAGACCAAAGGGTCCCAAACCAGTGGCAAAACAAGAAGATCCGACATGGAACTAGTGAATTTAGAATTTGACACATATTCTTTGGCATCACACGCTCTTTTGATGATACATACGGTAGATGAAGTAACCTTGAAAGCCATCCAAGGCGGGAGTGGAAGCATGGCAGACATTGCCAGCCGCCTTTGCAGCTGTTTCCATGGGATCAAAGACCCCTGCACCAGTGAGGCACATGTCCTCGCAGCCGGCTATGCCGAAGGAAGGGACACAGTGGGTGTCAAGAGGAGTCTATGCAGAGAGACCGGGACTCAACCTGCCGCCTTCAGGACCTCCTATGAAGATAGAAAAATGCATGGTCAAGCACATATCGATCTCACATGTTCTCCCACTGCAAACGCTTTGCGCATGAACACTTCCGTCCTCCACGAAACAAGATGCTGTAGTTCCATGCCACAACCTGGCATCAAACGAAACTGACGCGGAACACATTGATTTCAGGGCGGTTACATGGACATGGCATATCCGATTTGTTCCTACTCAAATCTAAATATCCAAGTCTGATGCTGTGAAAGTGATGTGTTATTTCCGAAAATCAAAGGGTCCCAAACCAGTTGCAAAACAAGAAGATCCGACATGGAAGTACTGAATTTAGAATTTGACATACATTCTTGCTGTTTTGATGATGCATAGGGTAGATGAGGTAAGCTTGAACTAAATTAATGTGGATATGAAGATAGAAACATGCATAGGCAAGCACAAATCGATTTCACATGTTCTCCCACAACCTGGCATCGAATAAAATTCAAATAGAACACATTGAATTCAGAGCAGCTACGTGGACATGGCATAACCAATTTGTCAAAGACTCAAGTCTGATAATGTCAAAGTAAACTGTTTGTCCCTAAGAAGGAACGCATTCTTGGGCATCACGCATTGTTCATTCCACAGCCTGCCAGCGAATGAAAATCAAGCAAAAAACAATGCTTTCACAGCAGCACTTCTGAAAGGGATAAACCAACAGACACTACCAATTAGCTATCTTTTTTCTACGTTGCCAAAACATTCTGAGAAAGGTCTGTTTGCAGAAGACTGCATTCAGTATATTACAGGCTACAGAAGTATTGCTCAGACAGCTCTGGTTGCAATACAAGTAGCAAGGTTTCAAAACAAATAGCATTTGGACAACAGGAGGCTACAGTGGTATTGCTCAGACAGTTCTGGTTGCAATGCCAACTGTGTGTCCGCTGTTGCAAATTTAATTTAAGCATTGCACCAAAAACGAGCACGTGCTATGATCCAGCTTAGCGACACAACAGGAGGCTACAGTGGTATTGCTCAGACAGTTCTGGTTGCAATGCCACCTGTGTGTCCTCCGTTGCAAATTTAAGCCGCTGCTGAACTTGCGGGAGACATTTTTAGCCTCTCTGTGGTAAGCCACGATGAAATCCACTGCCATCGCACATGCAGAACTGCGACGGCCGTCGCTGCCAGGTGGTTAATTTCTGTTTCCGACATCTCAAAATCATAAATCATAAAAACACAACGTGGTACGCCAGGAAATTTTCTCAAGCTGTTCATCCTCCGTTTCGTTCTTTCCAGCTCTGGGACGCAACCACATCTTCAATGCTTCAATGGCATCTATGATCTTGTCTGCTTTCAAACCATACTTGCAATGGTGGCCATCTTCATCACCTTGGTGAAACCATTCAGCGTCAACGTGCCGGAGCAATTGGTTCACACGATCTGCAGTAGCAAAGTTAAAGGCACCTTCATTTGAGCGCTCCCAACACTTGTTCTCAGCCCGATTGACATCAGGAATTTGCGTGTTTCGACGTGCTCTTCTTGATTTCTTCAATCTGGTAATTTCATATGGCATTTCCTAAGAAAACGCTGCTCGTAGGTCGCCTCCTGAGCACGATCTGGGCTTTGTGGTTGTGAAAAAAAACCAGGCTGCCCTGGTACCACCCGAAACTGCATCTTCAAGTCCTGGAGACTCTGCTTCATCACGGAGTCTTGCCACTGACCCAAATTCAAGCCAGACAAGATAGCTCCTACAGCTTCACGACAAACTTCACTCCATGAGTCTTGTGCAATTCTATCCCAAAAAATCGTGGCAATGTGTCCACTCGGATGCAGACAGTTTGTAATCTCAAAAAGTTCAGACGAACAATTCTGCGATGCTGCCACCAAGTTTGAACCATGTCTTTTGCAGATGCCAATAGTTTCTTCTCCACGCAACATCAACAACTTCTTTGGTGCAGCCAGGATAAACAAATGCCATTGATCAGAAGCATCGTCTTTAGGACTGCATTTCACCAGCACTTCCACCTCAGAAGAGAGATCAGTTCGTGTCAGTCTGCAAACCAACAAACTTGAGACTTCTAAGAGCTGCGGACAAATTGTCGTGCCCCATTGATTGATTTCCCGAGGTGCTGGTGGAGCATCAGTCTTCTGTCCCGTCGAATGATACTCCGATCCCATGGCTATCTCACTTGCTGATTTCATGCTTGCATCTGGGGATGCCGCAGGAGGAGGTGCCATTGGCGCAGTGACAGTATGTGAAGAAGCTGCTGCACCATGCACTTCGGATGCAGATGTCCTCGGCAACAAATTTTGGGTGAAAGGATATGGGAAGTTCGCCTCCTTATCTCCCGTCTCAGGCTTCACTGCCAGCATCTGCGTTTCCAGGCTTTTCAAATAAGGCGGACTCGGAAATGGAAACCTCCGCGCAAGTTGCCAAGACTCTAGGTGGTTGATATACCATCAGAATGCTAAGTAAAGACGCGAGGTGCAGATGTAAAGATGTGAAGATGATATGATATGGGAAGTAACTGTCAACAGGCGAAGATGAAATGTATAACCATATTATGCAATACCAAGTGCTACCAAGACACTTCCAGCGTTCAGTGCCCATTTCGTAAGTCACCAAAGCTTCCCGCATCAAAGTTTGCACTTTTTCATAAGGAGCTTGCCAGCCATGGGCGATCGCATCATTTTGGTGAGGCTGCATCAGGAAGCGATCTTGGTTGACCATGGTGTGCAGAATCTTTTTGAAAGAGCCTCCAACATTTGGATACTCTGTCGTGTCTCGCAGTCCATCCAAATCGCAAAATACCCAGACTGGAGCTGAATGCGGCTCCCCGACATTATCAATCGTGGCATCCCAAGGTACCACATCATGATGCACGAACCGGAACAGAAGACGCAAAATCTCGACCTGCATCTGAACATAGGATTCCCATGCCTGAGGCCTGCATTGCATTGTCACGAAAAGTGATGTCAGTTTCGATTTGCCGGTGAAGATCAACTTCTCTGCAAGCAGGATAGATGCGTCACCTTTTACCATTGCAGAATTTCCTTCAAAACAATCACCATCTCCCGTACTGGTTTTCTCCAAGAAGATTTGCCCGAAACAGTACATCCTTTCTTTCTCCACGACATGTTTGTACTTATCAAATCTTTGCTGCTCTGCTCTCCACTCATCCTTGGTTTTCTCATCTGTCATCATCTTAACTACAAAATTGTAGTTGTCAAGCAT